CATTCTGGGAGCAGAGAACTTAACCCCTTCCCAACCCAGCTTGAACCAGTTCCTAACTTATTAAGCAGTTCCCATCCTGCTTACAAGTGTGTTTGATGCATGCACAGTGAGGAGCCAGCTGAGAAACTGCAAGAAGTCACAGCCGGCATCCCACAGCCAAGATGGTGGCTCTGGGGATCTGAAGACTGACAAAGAACCAGCCCAGGTGACAGATCCCTGGGCTGGCAAATGTCTGGTTATTAACCACTTCCCGGACCGGTCGTTGTATATAAACGGACGGACGGTGGCAGTGCAGGGTCGGGTGGCCGTTTATAAACGGCCTCCCCGCCCCCTGCTTGTGCGCGCTCCCTGGGAGCGCGCAGCACCGCGATCCGGTGCCCGCTGTGTCCTCCGGACACAGTGAAACACCGATCGTCGGACGAGACCTCGATCATGTGATCACTGATTGGCCAATCAGTGATCACATGCAAAGTAGTAAGCAAGATGTCACTTGTGACATCATTGCTTACTACATGTGAAATCTGTGAATGATCACAGAGGTCACATGGTACAAGGCTATTCACAACAGCCTTGCACCATGTGACAAGCTGTGACCAATCACAGCTCACTCAGTACTCAGTCACCATGGTGACACTGTACTGCTAGGGTGACAGTATGTAAAAAAAAAAAAATAATAATAATAATATAAAAAAATAAAATAAAAATGTAAAAAAAAATTTTTTACTAAAAAGATAACGGAATAAATTTTGGCCAAGATTTATGATGAAATATTAGTTATTTGCAAAATTTTATAAAAAATCCCACTTTTTTTCGAAAATTTTGGACTTTTTCATTTACATAGCAAAAAAAAATAAAAATTCCAGTGGTGAATAAATACCACCAAAATAAAGCTTTATCTGTCTCAAAAAAATGGTAAAAAATTAATTTGGGTACAGTGTTGCATGACCGCGCAATTGTCATTCAAAGTGTGATAGCGCTGAAAGCTGAAAATTGCCCTGGTCAGGAAGGGGGTAAAAGTGTCTGGCCTGGAAGTGGTTAAAAGTCAGCTGCCACAGTATTTGTAGCTGCTGACTTTTAATTCTTTTTTGCAAGGATCGTAGTTCCTCTTTAAGGCCTCATTCACACCATGTGCAGAAAAAAAACTGATGGAAACTGACACGCAGATTTCACTTGCAGAGACATCAGTTTAGATCAGTTTTCATGCCTGCTTTAATGATCAAAATCTGCATATGATACTAGTGTTGTGGTGTGAACAGGGCACATAGAGAACAATTGATTTTGTTATGCCCTTTCTGAATGTGTGAAAAAAAAACTGATGTCTCTGCACCATGGTGTGAATGAGCCCTAAGGGTCCCATTCACAGGCATTATGTCCCATGATAATGTAGGTTGTGTTACGGGACAAGAGAAGATGTATGGACTATGAACCTATATAGACTATATCAAAAAACAGTGTAGCTTTGCCAGTACTGAGAACTAACATACTGAAAATGGTGGGGGTTTCAGCCTCTAACCAGGTCACTATACCTATTATTTCCATTTATGCATTCTTTCTAAAATGCTATCAAACATAACACAAGAAACCACATGCGCTTGTACTCTTACAGTACGTCTACTAGACAAATATGTTGCTCTTTCTACTGATCTTTCCCAAGCAGATTACATTATTAATGCTACTGAGGACCACCTTACTAATACGTAGTCAGTCCACACCTGTCAATACTTGCTTCTGCTGCCTAATATTAATAACTTAGAGTGATATCTTTAGCTGCATCCCCCACAAGTTGCCTGCATGCCAAGCTTATGGCAAGAGTCAGACCTCTGCCAACTCCAATACTTGCCTCAAGTACCTTGTTGGAACACTCCCTTTAATCTAAATGTTTAGCAGAGTTTAATTAATCTGTGAAAAAAATCAGAGGTGTTTATCTTAATGACTTCTTGCTAAGTGACCTCCTTAATGATCCTGTTACTTTAATGACCATTAAAATTTCAAAGCTAATGAGTCCCTTTATACTGATGGTTTTGTGTCAACAGACATATTGTAGCTGTACCTCAAACCATACAGAAAATATTCTATTAAATTCCACTATACTTATTGGCAATTTTCCAAAGTAACATCAATACAAAGTGCATACATACTCATCTTTTTATTCCTTGGCACAGATATTGAGCCCCAGGCATTAAAGATGAGGAGTGGTGGGCGCCTTCATATTCAAATTGTTATCCCCTCAGACCTCTGTCAATGCTGCCGCAGAGATTCAGTGACATCTTAACCAATCACTGCTGTAAGGAGTCAGCAGAAAGAAACTCTTCTACTACTGGGCTTTGCATTATCAGATGTTATCGGTTGAGCCTGGAAGAGGAAGTGAGAAGTAGGAGCCTTCCTAGGCAAGTGACAGCAGTGGCAGCACTGACATAGTTCTGAAAGTAGATTGATTTAAATAAAAAAAGGTGTCCACAGCTCACCATTCGTGGTGCCTGGCCAAGCCCCCCCCCCCCCCAACATCTGGGCCTTATAGCAGCAATGCTATGGAAGTTGTTCTGCCAGTGGTTATTTATAAATACTCAGAAAGCAGCATGGAGCTAGTCATGTTCCCCGGTGTGTTCTCTCCATACCACTAAACATTGGTGCATTGGAGAAGATGGATGTCATATTATCTTATTGAACATCATATGATAGGAAGATGCCAGTTTCCTGCATATTTCTTTTGTATTTGTGTGAGCTGCAAGCAGTGGGGGCAATGCTAGTAATACGGCTTCCCTGGCTTTAGGTGTACCAACAAACAAAATGTATAGGAAAAGGGGTATTGAATTTCAAGGCCCCCCAGCCCCATTTTTCCATAGGATTGCAGCAGCATCAGTTTCAAGGTTCCCCTAATTAAAAACTGTTGAGGGGGTACTTGTAACTGATGCATTAGGGGAGCCTTGAAACCAAACAGAGAATTCTGGAACCCAGGAGAGCTCTATAAATGGGGGGGGGGGATTCTTATCAGGATTCATTGCCACTTGCCTCTGGAGGTGGACAGCTGTGGAGCTCTGCACAAAAGAGCTGCCTCTCTGAGTCCACAGTTTGGAAACACCTGGGTGGCATGAAGACTCTGCTTTGGCAGCTTATCAAGTGGGCTGAAACTGAAGACGAGACGCCTCGCTGAAGAGGTGCCTTGCCTTACCTGTGAGAGCGGCGGGGCAAGAAGGCAGAGAAAAAGCAATTCCTGGCAGTAGCAGTGGCGACCCAGAGGCCTGTGATGGTCCAGAAGAGTCCATGGGAGAGGAATAGTATGAAAATCCCCCTGAAGTTCTGGTTTCAGGGCAGCGGTGCGGATCTCCTGGAGGAGGAGCCAATGAGGTTAAGCGGCCAGAGAAGAGGCAAAGGCAGCTGTGTAGGGGTTTCAACCCAGAGAGCTCTCGGGAAGTAAGCGTCAGAGATACTGGGCTGGCCTTTCCATGGAGGCAGCGGTTGGAAAGTGCCATCCAGGAGGGCAGAGCACAGAGGGGGAAAAGTCTCAGCCGGCAAGCACAGCCGATTGGCTGCTGTGCCAGCTGTTATGCTGTCAGATGGTGGAGACATTGGCTACCCTTGGCTCCTGACAGAACTGTTAGACTAGTTGCTGTGGGAAAAGTACATTTATAAATATACACTGGTCATACGTCCTCCATCATTGATATAAGACAACAGATTTGTCTTATGAACTGTTTCTGTGTGGACCTCATAAATAAGAAGACAACAAGCACGACTATGCTGTTTCATAAATAACATGAAGCAACAGAAACTGGTGGTGCAATGATGCATTATATTTTAAAAGTAGTATTGTTAGGGAAGACAGAAGTTAGTAAGGATTGGATGAAAGATAAATGGCCTTATACACATAATCAGCTTTCTATGGTGTTTCAAATATGTTCAGCCTGTACAGCTGTCAGGACAAAGGACATACTAAGCTCCGTGAAGGAAAAAATACAATCCAAAGGTTTTTTGATAACTTATACAGCTCTCTTATACGTGGTTTTTATAGCTGCAGTAGTAGTTCCATCATTCTGGTTGTTTTATTTGAGTGGAACTTATTCACTTTGCTAAGTGAACTTTAACTATGTATAGTGAATGAGGTAAAGATAGGTAAAAAATAGTTTGCTAAGTTCAAATCCATTTAGCTTGGTGAAGGAGGTGAAGCTGTGCCAACTTCAGTCCATCCAATCATACACAAGCAAAAATTCAGTTTTCATTTTCCTTGCACAACATTGGGTATTTTTTGTAAAGTGAATTTAAATTAGCTTAATCACTCATTAAAGTAAGAGAAACTTTACTTTACAAAACTAAAGTTCACTTTGCTAAGTAAACATTTGCTACCCCTTTAGTAAATTAACCCCATTATGTCACACCGCCTCATGCATGATCTGTGTAGTCACACTGTCACATATAATGAAGAGAAAGGAAACAGAGCAAAAAAGGTATACAATCTGAAAACCTGATGCAGATACTGTTGTTTCCCCTAAGATAAGACAGTGCTAGGTGCTGTCACCTCTCTGTTTTCCAATCCAACTTAATACCACCAAGTGATCGTCCGCTAATCTGATCCTTAGTACACAGCTTTCCAGAGCCAATCACGCCAGTTCATGCAAAATTATCCAGAGGGACAAGCATGCAAATTTTTTCTCAAACAATAACAGAACAAATTATTTTCGTTTTCGTATTCAGTACAGTATTTCTCCAAAAAAAAAGACCAAGACCACACATTTTCAGAAATGAAAGAATACGTTATGGTACAATACATCTCATCAATTCCGAAGTTGTATTCTGTCATGTGAAAATTTTTGTAACTTCAGTAACCTCTTAATTTCTTAGATGAGACTAGCATGCAAAAAAATGGGTGTTCATTCATTCAATATTCGCATTGTGTGTATGAAGCTTTAAAACAGATACATTGCAAAGCAATACATCAGGATGATTTCTTTTACATGTGGATCTGAAAAAAAAACACAGATGACAATAGTCTCCCATTTTTTTCTTTAACCACTTGCCTATGGGGCACTTATACCCCCTTCCTTACCAGGTCAATTTTCAGCTTTCAGCGCTGCCGCACTTTGATTGACAATTGCGCGATCATGCAACATTGTACCCATATGAAATTTTGATCATTTTTTTCTCACAAATAGAACTTTCTTTTGGTGGTATTTAATCGCCACTGGGCACTTTACTTTTTGAGCTATAAATAAAAAAAGTGCACAAAATTTGAAAAAAAAAAAAAGTTTATTTGTTTCTTTTATAAAATTTTTCAAACAGGTATTTTTTCTCCTTCACTGATGTGCGTTGATGAGGCAGCACTGATGGACACTGATAGGCAGCACTAAAGGGCACTGATAGGCAGTACTAATGAGGTGGCACGGATAGGCGGCACTGATAGACAGCACTAATTAGGGGTCACGGATAGGCGGCACTAATATGCAGCACTGATAGGCGGCACTGATAGGTGACACTGATGATGGGTACTGATAGACGGCACTGACTGGCATCACTGCTGGGCACTGACTGGCGGTACTGACTGGCACAACCCCTGGGCACTGACTGGTGGCACTGACTGGCAGCACTGCTGGGCTGCACTGGTGGGTGGCACTGGTGGGCAGCACTGGTGGGTGGACACAGGTGGGTGGCACTGGTGGGCACAGGTGGGTGGGCACAGGTGGGTGGCACTGCTGGGCACATGTAGGTGGCACTTCTGGGCACAGGTAGGTGGCACTGCAGAGTGGCACAGGTGGGTGCACTGCTGGGCACAAGTGGGTGCACTGATGGGCACGGGCGGGCGGAGCTAGTGGGCGCACTGCTGGGCACCGATCATCAGGGCACTGATCATCAGTGCCCTGATGATCAGTGCCGATCCCCGCTCTGACAACTGCCGGTTCTCGGCAGTACTTTCCTCATGATCTGACAGCGTGAGGAAAGTGCAGCCGAGAACCGGCACTTGCATTTCCCTCTGATCAGCGTGTCATTGGACACCGCTGATCACATGGTAAAAGGTCGCTGTGATTGGCCTTTTACCACATCACGTGATCAGCTGTGTCCGTAGGACACAGCGTTCACGGTGATCGCCGGGTGCGCACCCCCTGGGGCGCGCAGGAGAGCGCGTTCTGGGAGGACGTCATATGACGTCCACCCAGAACTGGCCGGCCGCAGTGAAGCCGTCATTCGGCTATCTGCGGTCGGCAGCTGGTTAATTAAGTGTTCTTGTGTGGCAAGACCACTTACTGTTATCTCACATATATATTCTTATTATTATAGCCAAATTTACCACCGTAACTCCTCCCACAGTTTTTACACTACATAGACAGTAAAATACCGAAACGTGCAGATTGTTTCCGATTGGTGTACTATTACTTTGTGGAACGTTTCGCCGAATGGTTCACGAAATATCGGCATTTTTGTGGTGAAATTGGTCCCATAGGAATGAATGACGCAATGTTCAAAACTAGAGTGGGAGCTGACAAAAGCTAGAGTGTGAGCTGAAAAATCAGGACATGATATCTAAACTGCCAGCACTCCCTCATTTTCAAGCTCACCTACACAAATCTTATATCAAAACGTTTAGCTATCCCTGCTGCCACTAAAAATATCCACGGCTAAGCTATAGTCCTGATAGTTTTCACAATATGTCCATTTGTTTGCAACTCACGCCACCCATTGACATTCATTGAAACTCCACTCTAGCCACCTCAAATTTGAAGGGCAATATCTAAACTGCGACTGTGCCTTCATTTTTAATATTTCAGAGACATACTATGCATCAAACTGTAGGTCTGGATTCTCACAATATAAAGCTCTTTGGTGTAGGATTTATAATTTTTAAACTACAACCGTTTGAAGATGGCAACCGCCAGTGAAGTGAGCAAGTTGGAGTAGTTTGTTTTTAACCGCTCTTCTCTGCCCTTGCTGTAGAGTGAGTTGCCATAGGAACCCAGGTGTGTGAGCAGGCAGCAGAGTGACAAAAGCTAGAGTGTGAACTGAAAAATAAAAGTTGAAATGCATTTCTCACTCTATCAAGCTTGCCATGTGCACTTTTTAAATTTGATCAATCAATTGCTTAGTGTAATGTTTACTGTCTTTACTCACTCCAAACACTGCACACAGTTACTCTGCCCACTCCATAAAGTTACTCTGCCCAGTCCAACCTTTTCACAGTTACTCCAGCCACTCCAACACACAATAGTTACTCAAGCCACTCCACCCAGTTACTCTGCCCACTCCAGTTGTAGACTACTGGTGGAGGCAAGAACACTTCCCCAGAAATTGTAGCTTTTCTAGTTTTAGCTGTTTTTTAACTAAATTTGACACACACGCCTTGCTTTTACAGCAAGACATGCATTTTTTGCATTTCCAATTGCATTTTTAAATATTTAATTGCATATTTAAATTGTTTTAAACTGAGTGTAGTTATATTTACTGTGTTGCTTGTTTGCCCTAACTTGTAGTGATGAACTCACATTCTGTGGCTGCAGTTTGGGGTTTCAGAGCTGATCGATTCCCCTATGTCCATGTATTGTTTCTGCTACCCTGTCCCTATCCACCAAGGGGAAAGGACAACTCCCTGTTCTGAGTCAAACATCATCCAGTGCATGCCCTGCCGTGCATTCTGTGTCACACCACAAGGTGGGAGTGCTATTGAGCTTAAAAAAATCTTCTAGCTGCATGGTGAGCTCTGTGAATTTGTGTACGTGTCAGATCTAATTACTATGCAGCTCTCACCTGAACCAGTGCTAGACTGAGAGACCCAGGGATTGTGGGATATTTAGTTTCTTTAAAGAAATGATAGTTCGCAGACTACAAACAGAAGTCATGCATTAAACTGTACAGTGCCATGCTGAATGCCACATGTTTGAACACACAGAGAATCTTCTGACCCAGGAATGTAAAGATTTACTCATCATTAGGTTGATCGTAAAAAGTCACAACATGGAACTACAATATTAATGCATTACACAGGTGAAAAACACAAAGTACAGGTAGGAACATTTACAATGTCTTTAAATTTCCATGAGATAAAGCGACATATTATATGGACTTTGATTAATAAGAAGAGGTCTTCAGAGTTTTCTTTCATCTAATTTTGACCACTGGTTTGTTTACTTGCAAGGGAACTGAGTATAGCTGTTGGATAACTTACACTCTGGACATTACATTCTAGACATACATTCTGGACATGCAGATACTAATGCTGAGTACACACGATCCAAATTTTGGCCGGTTCAGCAGGAACCAGTCGACATTTGGACAGTATTTACAGCTGCCTGTTCAACAGAAGCCAGTCCAGAGATCAGCTTTTGTCAAGACCTGCTGGACAACCAGCAGCCAATCAGTGCTGGCAGCCAATGGCTGTGAGCACTAATCAGTGTGCTCTGATAGGGAGTAGTCCTCCTATCAGAACACAGTAGTTCAGTGGGGGAGATCGCCAACATTGCATAGTTAGTATGGCGACCTCTCAGTTTTTTTTCCTGCTGGGTTGAACGAAAAGAAATTTAACGTGTGTAGTAAGTTTTAGCCTTCTCCCTACTTTCCTTATTTCCTCTCCTATCTGCTGTGGTTTTTCAGTCATTTGCATAAAACCTTCTTGGACACGTCATAGATCCCAGAAGACTGTGGGACCATTTACAAAGCGCAGTGCCGCTTGCGCATGAACAATTGGAAGCCAGCTGTGAAGCTGCATTGAATCACAGCCAGCTTCCCACAGTAAACATACAGTTGTGTTCAAAATAATAGCAGTGTTTTGAAAAAAGTGAATAAAGCTAAAGTGAAGAAAATCCTTCTAATAGCTTTTGTTTCCATACACACAAATGCATTGGGAACACTACACATTCTATTCCAAATCAAAAAACATGAAGAAAAATATATCAAATTTGTGTTGTTCCTCTAAAACAATTGAAGAAAAGTGAATATTAGACTGTTCAAAAAAATAGCAGTGTTTGTATTCTTCTTTACAAACTCAAACATTAACTATATAAACTGAAAAATGTTTGAAGATTTTGCTTTCCTTTGAATCACCTAATTAATATTTAGTTGTATAAGCACTGTTTCTGAGAACTGCTGTACATCTGTGTTGCATGGAGTCAACCAACTTCGGCACCTGTGAACAGGTATTCCAGCCCAGGATGATTGGACTACATTCTACAGTTCTTCTCTATTTCTTGGTTTTGCCTCAGAAACTGCATTTTTGATGTCACCCCACAAGTTTTCTATTGGATTAAGATCCGGGGATTGGGCTGGCCACTCCATAACATCAATCTTGTTGGTCTGGAACCCAGATGTTGCACGTTTACTGGTGTGTTTGGGGTCGTTGTCTTGTTGGAACACTCATTTCAAGGGCATTTCCTCTTCAGCATAAGGCAGCATGACCTCTTCAAGTATTCTGATGTATTCAAACTGATCCATGATCCCTGGTATGTGATAAATAGGCCCAACACCGTAGTATGAGAAACATCCCCATATCATGATGCTTGCACAACCATGCTTCACTGTCTTCACAGTGTACTGTGGCTTGAATTCAGTGTTTGGGGGTCGTCTGACAAACTGTCTACGGCCACTAGACCCAAAAAGAACAATCTTACTTTCATCAGTCCACAAAATGTTGCGCCATTTCTCTTTAGGCTCTTTGGCTCAATGTGCTCTTTGGCAAATTGTAACCTCTTCAGCACGTCTTTATTTCAACAGTGGGACTTTGCGGGGCTTCTTGCAGATAGCTTGGCTTCACATAGGCGTCTTCTAATTGTAACAGTACTCACAGGTAACTTTAGACCTTCTTTGATCTTCCTGGAGCTGATTGTTGGCTGAGTCCTTGCCATTTTGGCTATTCTTCTATCCATTCGAATAGTAGTTTTTCACTTTCTTCCACGTCTTTTAGGTTTCGGTTGCCATTTTAAAGCATTTGCGATCATTTTAGCCGAGCAGCGTATCATTTTCTGTACTTCTTTACATGTTTTCCCCTCTCCAATCAACTTTTTAATCAAGGTATGCTGTTCTTCTGAACAATGTCTGGAACGACCCATTTTCCTCAGAATTTCAGAGAGAAATGTACTGTAACCAGCATGTGGGCTGCCTAATAGAACGCCACACTGCTATTATTTTGAACATGCCCCTTTCAATTAGTGATTCAATTACACAGAATCAGCAGCTTGCATGTCATGACTGTTGGGTCTGTTGGATTTCTATTACTCTACTACACCTGCTAGTAAACTATTTGCCATGTAGAAATATCATTTCTACCAAAAACAGTGATGTCTGACTGACTGCTATTATTT